ATTCAGATACACTCATTTTAAGGCAACATGTGAAACCTAAGAGCTTCCAGGATGCCCCAATGAGAACCCAAAGGTATCCTGACTTCAGGGTCTGCAATGCAGCTTCATCTTTAATACTCCAACAATTAAAAATGTTCTTTTTCACTGTATGCTGAGTAAGGCTTATATTAAATCTATACCTTTACTTAGGCTTTTACAATTTTGTTTGTCATCATATTTGGTCAGCTCTGTTTTCCTCTAGTAATGATATGAGAAAGTGACAGTCAAGCATGTCTCAAAATAAAGCAGAAATTAAAAATAATGGCTCACCACATCTCTCCTTGACCACCTTGTGATTCCAAGGTGACTTTAGGCAGAGAGTAAGTTATTTTACATCAGTCAAAGTTCTGTAGGTTCATCTTGAAAGGGAGTATAGGAAAGGGAATGACAGGGAAGTTTTGATGGGGAATAGAATATGAACAGAGCATATCAAATATACTGAAATCCCAGTAATTTCAGTGAGCAAGCAGACACAGGGGAGATAAGACTTATTCACAGCAGAACCAGACTGATAGGTCCTTGAGCTCCCTGAGCTCTCAGTATGGATGACCAGTGATAGGAAAACACTTCCGTGGCTGATAAAGCTGCAATAACAAGAGTGAAGCCTCTGCAGGTTTTATGGAGCAAGGATGCTGTAGGGACAGCTGGACAATAAGTTCCCTGTCCCTTTGCAGGTGACTCTCTCCCCACCTCAAAGAGGCAGAGGGATTCTACATTAGTGAGATCCAGTTCTGCAGTCTTTGAATCAGCTGAAATACTTCACTTTTACGAGAGGACAGTTTAACAGGCAGCTCCTGTTCTTGCCCTCAATTTACGGGAACAAAACAGGCAGAAAACAGGGACGTGGAACAGCTCAGGGCCAAGGTATGGGTCTGCCTTGGCTCTCTGGATATAAATACAGGTGAGTCACTGGATGTGCCTGTACACACCTTGAAAGAAAAATACCTGAAGTGATCACTGACTGCCAGGAAACTGTGCCAAATTGTTGGCAATGTCCTTTGCTCCTCCTTGGCTCATCTTCATTCATGAGTGCTGAGCCAAGTCAGAGTCTGCCCTTTGGCTCGTTCCATTGGCTGGCTCGTGGCAGCAATGTACACATTTTCTAATGAACAACCCTGTACACCCATGTACATACACACGCAAACATGAATTTTCCACAGATTTCAGCATCACTTGTCACGACTTCAGTGGCTCTTCTTTCAAAAGGTGTGTGGTGAACATTATTTATGCCCCTGACGGCATGCACAGAAGTTTCTGTGCTTCTGAGGATTTTACTTCAGGGTTTGCTTACTTGCTGCATGAAAGCCCTCTTGGTATTATCTTAGTTTGCTTAGATAAAAGAGGAGTCAAGCAAAGAATTTCTGTAGTAATTTAAATAACTACTTCCTTTTAGAGAGAAATTTGTACCTGGCATAAATTTGATCTAATGGTTCAATTCTGATCTACTTAAGGATGTGAAAGCATTTAGTAACTCCTATTAATTCAGTGGTCGTGTTATAGATCCTCATGGGCATATCTGAGAACTGAATTTGGCTTGCAAACCAAAAAAATCCTAAAATGCCTCCTTTTCTCTTTGCTGATGGTGTGCATGGTCCACAGCACTTTTTCACTGTAGTAGGATGAAAAATATTTTCAAAGATACTCTTGCAGTAATAAAGTGAGGGTGTCGTACAGCAGGGTTTGACTGGCAAAAGGCTCCACTCTTCAAAAAAAAAATTTTCCTCCTCTGTGCAAGATCTTTGCCAAAGGGTGTACATGTTACTGCTGCAGCCAAAATTACTGTTATAGCCAAGGGATGTACACGTTTCTGCGCAAAGGCTTTGCCAAAGGGTGTGCGAGCTACAGTTCAAAGTTACAGTTGAAGGGGCATTCCTGGCTTTAACGTTTGTGATCTGCTTATCCAGTCAATTAAACGCGGTTTATTTTCAGAGGGCTGAGGGGATTGCTCATGTGATGCTGAGGCTATTGCTATGGGAGCCCTCAAAAACAAGCTCCCTTTTAACTTTTTGCTGTTATGCAAGGTATTACTGGTACTCATGGTATTCCCCATTCCTTCTACAATATGTGCTCTACAAAGAATAGCTTACCTACAATTAAAGATGGTAAAAGAACTCCATTTTTTTTTCTAAGAGTGCCAAATAAATTGCCCCAGGCCATGCATGGCTGTTTAGCAGGCTACTGTGTGCAGCTGTAGTCACATTTTGAATGGTTTTGGATTAATGGCAAGAGCTAAAGAAATATATCTGGTTGGCAGACTGAATTCCTCAGCATAAAATGCCAGTAGACAACATGCAAGAAATTATAGAGAACAGTTCAAAAAAGTAACACAAGAGAACAGAACTTGTTGAAAATGTAAAATGAATATTCCACATTTTCTGGCCAGTGCCACTGGAAATCTGATGGCTCTGTTCTGCAATAATTTCTGAGCTTAATCCTTTACTGTTGTATCAGAGATCCTCCCCACTGTCAATGGGGTTGTTTCTTCCACTGTTGTTGATCCTAAGCAGATGCTTCCGTGCTAGAACTCTGGCCATGGTTCATCTTTGCATTAGGAAGAGAAGTTGAACTAAAACTTTCATGGCCATTGCCCACGAGATCTCCTTTGATCATATAGAGAGACCAAGGTGGTTTCCTCATGAGGAAGAAGTCTTTAATTCACCCTTGCCTTCAGACATTCAAAGGGCTAACATTGGCCTTTAGACATTTACAGCAGTGCTAGTTGTTCAAAACATCAGAATAAAGATGCCTAATCTTTCTGAAACAGACTTGAAAAAGTTGCCCTCTTGAGATGCTTGTTTTTCTTCATAGACTAGAGAATTTGCCAGGATTAAATGAGACTAGATCAGGTCTCACTTCTACATATTTAAAGTTAGATGAAATAAATCTCTTTGTCTCACCACTGATTCACACCAGAAGTAAGGCAGTTCAAAGAAAGACAAACAAGATGAGTGGGAGCAAGGAACATTTTGTTTGATATGTGTATGATGAGAAATTAATTTAGAGGGAAAGTAGGTAAAGAATAATATGATAGGTCTGTTGACTAGCAGACTGGAAGATACAAAATTAGTACAGATACCTACTCCATTCCAGTCAGGAGGAAAGGAGGATCAAATTGGATGGAACAAGCTTGAATATGGAAAAGACAACTCCTTTCACCCATATGCAAAATCGTCCCATAGGCATAACAGAGCAAAACCCCAACAATTTCAAAGGACTTGGAACAAATGCCAGGTATATCAAGACAAGGATGATACCAGCAGTTGCTTTAATTAGTGAGAAAACGCAATTACTTTCTCACACAGGGGTAAGGGTTGCACTGTTCTTGTATCATAAATACAGATTGGTGCAAAGTGAACTACTGACCTTGTCATTAGTCATTACATGAGAAACCTAAAAAAGATTGTACATTAGCCCCAAGCCTATGTTTGATTTCTGGATGCACAGCCATATTTACCTAATGATTGTAAACAAGCCAAAACTTGCATGCATAAAAACGATTTTTTTTTTACAAATTTGTTTAGAATTTGCTCCTTATGTTGCATGTAAAAGGTAACATTGCTTTTACTTGATGAAATGCAATCACTTCTAACTTTCTCTTTTATGTCTTCCACTTTTACAAGATGTTTCTTCTGGCAATATCAGTCAACTTTCTTTACCTTGCTCTTTGTTCCCACATTGCCAATATTTTCTGTGCTGCTGACTTCTGCACATATCCTCAGGAGTTTTTTTGATGATACTGTGAACAGGAGACCCTGGATGTTTACCAACTCCTTACTTATTTATTATACCTGGCTCACTTCCTAGGACACAGTGAAAACAATGTCTGTTCTTGTTGATTGCTAAACAAACCTTGTAAGGAAACAGTCCTCCAGTATGTCTAGGAACATTGCTCCTTCCCCTGGGACCCCATTGCTGTCATCAAGAGCAACAGCGGGAAAAGTGTGGCTGTCTGAGCTTTCTTACAAACCTTGCTACCTGCACATCTATCCACATTCTTCAGCAATATGCAAAGAGATGTGTGTACTGTTTTCTTCTCGTTGTCTTTAGTACTTGCTGAGTTACACCTCAAAATCTGTGACCTGCGTTGCCAAATAGAATTTACTGAAATATTCTCTTCTACATTTAATCCAAAGCTTAAGTACATATCTTTGATTAAATCATCAGAGTAAGGAAAACTACAAGGCCAGAAGGAAGGTTTGTGTTCCTCAAAGACTCTGTGATTCTGCTGCTTTTCTGTCTGTTGTAGGGGGCATAATATGGGGTGAAATTTTCATGTTCCCTTAAAACATCATCCTAAACATTTCCAAAAGAATTCCAGGAATGCTTGTACAGATATGAGTCTCTTGTCTCATCTCTGACTGACCTGCCATATATAAGTGCTCATGAAACATTAAAACTTGCATTATTTCAAATGCATCTCCATGATGGTGCTGCCTTTAATATGGGTCATAGTGAATCTCCAGCAATAAGAGTTTGCATCCTCCTTTACATCTGCCAGGCAATTTGCGGTTTTCCATCTTTTTTCTTCTGATCTGCCACAATTTTAATGCTATGATGTTTCTCCCAGAGCTCCTACCACTATTTTAGAATCGAACAATTGATTCACTGATTAATCAAACAATTAATTGACAAGAACCCTGATTTATGTTAAGTTACAGCAAGCAAATATTTGCCTAGTGTTGGATGTAGATTTAAACACAGACTCCATAAGTATTTTTATTAGCCATGAACATTTCTTGAGGATAATCCAAGTGCAAAACTCAAGCTCTTCCTCCCTCCTGATGATTTGAATGGATGGATTGTGTCAAGAGTCACACTCCTTTCTTGTGTTAAAACCTTAATCTGATAAATAACTCTCAGGATGATTTTTAAAAGCAGAAAGGGCAGTAATGTGTCTTGCTCCCACTAACAATTCAGCAGAGTTAGGCACCGTGCTCCAGTTTACATTTTTAAAGATTTACCTTCTTTGTCTTGAAAGCTGTGTTGACAGCAAGCTCCATTCAGGACATTCCTCTGAGAGAAGCCAACAGGCAGCCTCAGACCTTCCTGTGGATGTGTGAAGATCAACTGGTAACCAAAGAGCAGGGAAAGAGACTGGTGTGCTGCAAGCAAGGAAAAAATAAATTTCTCAAGGTGAAATTGTCAACAGCTTCTCCATGACTCAGAATCTGAAACTTGCCTCTTTCAAAAATTAACTGCAAAGTCACACACACACACATGCGCATCTATATATCTATGTATATCTATCTATATATCTATATCTATATCTATATCTATATCTATATCTATATCTATATCTATATCATCTATATCTATCTCTATATCTATATCTATATCTATATCTATATCTATATCTATATCTATATCTATATCTATCTATATATCTATATATCTATATCTATATCTCTATATATCTACATATCATCTATGTATCTATATATGTATATATGTATATATATATCTTGTTTAGGTACCAAAAATATTTTCTAAGGTTATATTCCTTTGTCAAGAAATGACCCTAAGACTGCTATTGTGTAAGATAGCCCTTTGAAGAGGTAAATCCAGTTTTATGTCTTTTAGTGAATTGTTTCATTTTGGCACAGTGCTCTGTGCATCCTACAAGGTGATGCTTGTGAGGGGGTTTTTGATGCAATTTAACTAATTCTTTTCAAATCTCTTATTTTAAGACTGTGTAACCCATGGATTTAAAAGGTAGGTTAAATAAATATTTGAGGCTTTGCTGGAGTTTCCCAGCTGTTTTGAGGAGTTGAATCTAAATCTTGGTTTGCTAAAGCAGTGCTGGCAGGAATTCAACTGCATCTGCCTCAGTTTCCTTATTTTTTGGGTGGGAGGGAGAGCACTTTTAAGTGTCCTTACTTAAAGGACAAGAGGTAAGCTATATTATTTGCAAGGTGGCACAGTCTGTCTGGCTTTTACTAACACATGGGAGCACAATGCCACTCCTTCCAAACCTTCTGCTAAATCCTGCAGGCCTGCAGGGCTGTGCTGGGCTCATCCCCGTGCTGGGTAATTCTCCCCAGATGGGCTCTCTGGGCTGGTGCTCCCGTGCAAACAGAGCTGCCGTGACACAGGAGCGATGCCTGCGAGGTTGCCCGCAAACAAAGCCATGCTTACAGAGTTTATCTGCAGCAACTGGCGGAGCTTGCCCGTTCCTGCCCAGTTCTCTTGGCTCAGACACCTTAATTCTGAATATATCCCTCGCTATATGCTGAGTAATCTGTTGTGAAAAATGCCTCTGAAGAGGCCCCATTATGCACGCTCTCCTACCAGGCAGCATTAAAATCCTGCCTAAATGGCCTGATGGCTGATTAAAGTCCCAGAAGTTTTTAAATGATTATTTATGCTTCTCAACCATTATCTAGTGATTGTTGAAGCACCTTGCCGGAAGCCTTCTTTGTGGTGAGTAATGAAATAATGCAAATTGATGGGAGCTGGTGCCGATTTTTAAAGGAAAACAGGCTTCCCTGGATGGCAGGATCAATGGAGTCTGTGTGAGCTGCTTAAAAGGTTTGTCATCAGGTATGTCAGACACCCCCTCATGACAATCCTCACAGGAGGGTGTCAGAGACCAAAAACCCTCCTGACCTCTCTGGCTGGGAGACCTGGCAGTGTTTCTGTAAGTATGGAAACAGAGAGGGGAAAGAAGACTCCTGGAGAGTCAGACATGGGGGAATCCCAGAAATATGTAAAGCTTTGGCTTTACATAGCTGCATGTGCACTGAGTTAATCAGATCTCACAGATTATACATTTTGTCACCATCCCAAGATCACAACAAGGGATCCCTACAGATTTCTGAGACCTCTGACATATTCTGTGACTAAAACCACAGAAGGACAGGATGAAGTTCAAGTTCAGTTTAATTTTTTTTAGATTATTTAGGATTTATCAAAAGAACATACAAGAACTTATCAATCTTAGATTTAACATTTTTAACATGATTTTGGCCAGCTATGGTTTAAGTCAGTGTTGCCTGCATGTGATTGCTGTTTCTGGTATTTAGAATTAACCAAGTGATGAAATCAAGTTTGAAGACCACCAGCTTCATGTAGCGACCATCTGATAGAAAAGAGAACAAATATTAAGAGAAAAAACTGACTAAGGCCCCAAACTTCTAATGTCATTTTAATTACAATTGATATTAGAATCAGGCTATTCACTGGCAGTGAATATTCATTCTCAGGCATATTTCTGTTACCTCTCTGGCTTTGAAGTAACCCCTAAACATTAATGAAAATATACTAGATTAAAAAGTAGCGCTTTCGCTGTCTCAGTTTCTCTTGGAATTGAATGTATGTACTAAAAGATTAAGGTTTTATTGGTTTTCTTCTTTCTTTGCTTTTCACTGGGCATTGTTCCTGTGAGAAAGCTCTGATTTAAAGTTGCTGCATTGCAGTATGATGTGCTCAGTTGTGAGACTCAAATCCCAAATGACAGGCCAACTGAGATTCCTCCCAGCTTGGTCTCATCTAAACTAACTCTGGCAAAGGGCACCTTTTTATTTGGAGACAGATCTGGAATGGAAATGTTAGAAAAATATTTTGATTTGGATATTGAAGTATTCTTGGTGTTTAAAGGTGCAGTTCAGCCCTACTCCACCGAGTTTTTCAGTGTTATTGTATTCAAAACATTCAATGTGAGTTCCTGAGAGCTCATTGTGGTGCATAAAATTGAGCTGAGTCTGAGTCTAGCTGCCTCAGTCCATTCAGACCTGCTACAGACCCTTCTAAAGACAGGAACCCTGCCTTTTCCTGGTATCCACATGCAGGCTGCAGCATTCCCACAGTGAGGTACTCAGGTTTGTGTGGAAGTCACTCAGTACAGAAATTTAACCATTTCTAGTTCTTAACTTCTAAGCTCTGGAGGCCCAGCACAGCATTTAAAGAATGCCTAATGTGTGCAAACACAATTTTGCCCAGCGCAAAGAAATGTATTTGTTGTCACTGCCAACTCTTGCATCGCTCTCAATTAATCAGGTTTAACTTTGCTTGTTTGCAGCAGAGGAATCAGCAGCTCCACAGGCTTGAATTAAAGAATGCAGGGGTGTGATACATGTCCATGGAGTCACAGAACAGGTTGCTGAATGTGCTCATGTTAGGAGGCACACCATGATGACACTCCAACCATCAATACATGCCATAATTTTGTGTAATAAATGAAAAGTGAAGAATCACCAACAGCTGTGGCCCTTATATTTTTTAAAAAAATGCAAATACAATCACTCTTTTTGAATTTTCATTAAAAAATTAATGTCCCTGCCCAGCAGCTTGGAAGATGGTCTGTGAATACATATTAGGCTGAGGAATTAGAGCTCACAACTACCATCTGCCCAAACAGAGCCCTAACTGCACCAAAGAGAATGTTTTGGGCCCATCATGTAGCCAGATACACAAGAATGATGGGGCCAGTGAAAGGCCACCTAACTAAAGTTGAGGAAGATGTCAATTATGGACTTTGTGCACAAGCTCATTGTTGTGGTTGCACTCCTTGACAGGGAGAAGCGGCTCTGACAGAAGGAGCCCTCTGGGAACTCCTCTCTGTCTGTCCTGTCCATGGGGACCACACACGCCCAGAGCCAGGAAAGGACCTCATTCCCTGAGGCCATGATTCCATTTCTGCTCCCTGACTGACCAGGACAAGGGTGGGGAATGAAGACAAGGCCGACCTTGCTGGTGTCCATGTGGCTCCACCAGGCTCCTCAGGGTGGTTTCTGTGGGATGTGATGTACATGACAGAGTTCAGCATTTCTGATCTCCCTTGAATGTTCCTCAGGGTGGTTTCTGTGGGATGTGATGTACATTACACAGCTCAGCATTTCTGGTCTCCCTCGAATGTACAGCAGCACTGGAGCCCTTCCCTGTCTGAGGCCTTCCCTTTGATTTGCTCCCTGGCCACACGAGTCTTCCTGAGCTGTACCCACGGTGCTTTATCGTGTGAGAAAGGTGCTCCATCCAAACAATGTGAATTAAAGCAGGTCTAGAGAATTCCTTCTTTGTAATAAGTTATCCATTAAATACCACTTGAGCTTTTCTTGTTTTAAAGCATATGTCAACACAATCTCAAATACTTTTTATAAAGTACTAGTAGTAAGTCATTAAAAATGACAAAAATGTCTTTAATCTATAAAAAATATTTTAATCAACTGAGATATCTTTTTCAACATAACAAAATAAACACAACCCAGACTAGGCTATCTAATCTTCAGCTCACAGTGGGATGACTTTACAACAGAATGTCAGAATCACCCACTAAATTCATTGGGTGCTTACTGCTCTCAGGGCTTTCAGGTATGTTCTCCTCACTACTGTGGAATATCCTAGTTCTTTTTAAATATTTACAGATGTCGAATATTTGTATGTTTGCATTTCCTTGGGGGTAAATCCTTGCACTTTCTGAAAGGTGCCATGATTGAGAAATAGGAAATAACTTTTTGGTGGCCATTGCTCAGAGGTAAGATAATAATTTAATAATGTTTGTGAGCAGCCATTCAGAATTTGCATCCCCTCCATTTGATTAAAATTACCAGAAATACTGGAAAAGACATAGGAGTTCAGAGAACAGGGAAGAAACTGGTAATTATATGAAATGGAATATAGTTTGGGAAAACCATATATAGCATAAACATATAGCATTAATAATTTAAATGTAGTATTTATGCATGTAGCATTCTGCATAGTTGAGAAGCTACATTGAAAGGTGACCTTCTATTTTTAAATTACCCTAATTGAAGCTGATCTGTATTTCATATGGTGGGGCTGTAATAAAGACCAAGATGCAGCATAAAAGTTTATGATAATTATGCACATGATTCACAATGTGTGGTTGATCTACACTCATATTTCATATTTTGTTGTATGATAATTATCAAATACTTCTTTTCTGTGATCCTTATTCCCTTTCATGCTCCTTCTAATTGAACAGAAGAGATCTCCACAGAGGGATTTCAACCATTTAGTCATATAAATAGAGATGGAAATCTCTCCATGGTATTTCCCCAAGTAAATATTTGCTGAGATTTAATAATTACATGGTCTAACATGAACAAATCTAACTTTCACTCAGACCAGTTTTGCAAAGTAAATT